ATACCGCCACCTCCGGAGTCGGCTTGACTCGGTTTGCATTTATAAAGAATGCACACATGTGTTTAATCGTTAATGTCAGATATGTACGAAGTAAATACATTTGTTCCTGCTCAAGATTAGATTCAACTTTATTGTTATTTCACATATTACAGGTACTGAGACAACAAAATACACTTTAGCTTCTAACCAGATGCAACAAGCAGTAAAGTGAAAAGTAATGTACACAATAGACAGAATAAAATATAGAATGAATTGAATGATGAATAAACAGTGAGGGGTATGAATACACTAGATATTAGCCTGTGAGCAGTATGAACAGTGTGTATGAATATGCTAAGATATATAAAGTATGAAAATGGTAAGCAGTGCAAGTATAGTATATAGATATGGATTTCATGATGATAAACATTGTGGAACAATTATGAAAAATGTTAATGGAGGGGGGCGTAAAACTGACACAAAACAACAACAAACTTTTGCCGAGCCAATTGGAGAGTTTCATCACCAGCACGTGGTAAAAACCACCAATGAGCGCTCAGCTCGAGATACCAGCGAGTCGTTTCCCATCAAGCATTTCGCTTCCGCAGCCCGTGGAGAGGAACTTCTCCGACTCGCCGCGCCTCGCTCTCAAGGCTGCGGGCGTCTTTGTCCCGCGAGATTTCAACGTCTCATGTAGGCGAGCCTCCAGAGCAAGTCGGACAAAATGACTAACCATCATGCAACGCACTAGCAAGACGTTGATCGAAATTGCGCAGGTCTCGCTTGTCTCAAACAAGCCTAGTGAGAGCATGTGAGGAGGGATCATGGATGCTAGTACTTACGTGCGTACGATGTCTCAACGACTCACAAAGTCAGGCTTTCAAAAAAGAAAAGAAAGGAGAGAGGGACTAAAGGGCGACAGTATGTCACCCAGTTTTTCAAAAGAAAAGGTGGGTGTGGTCCATGAGTGGTGGAAATTAGTCTGTTAGCTAAGCTTAGTCCATTGTAAATAATAATTGTAATGTTTTGCTGACATTAACTACTGTTAATATCTTCACAGAAAATGCAGAGGTTTTTTATTTCACTCCTCTTTTAGCTGACATTTAATAAATGCAGGTAAATTTTTAGCAGCTATTCATACTAAACCAGTTGTCCCTCCCCCTGGTGCCAGGACCAACAGATCCATATTTAGGCTCAGCAGCCCTGTCCCTGTCCCAGCCCTGTAGTCTTGCCATGCTGTCCATTGAAAGCCAGTTGGCTAGAAAGCTAGACTTCAAGGACTTGATCAGTGACTTTGCCTGTAAGAAGGCTAGGCGCTGGGCTCTTGGTGAGTAAGGCTGAGCCAGGGCTCGTAATAACTGTTAAAGGGCAAGGCTATGGTAACGATATTGGATCACTACACACAAGATGCATGATGAGAAAAAGACTGAGAACAGGTAATAGGCTCTGATTTAGCACCACCATCAGGCCTTTTCACTTCCATTTCCGTTTTGTTGTCCGTTTACACTTTAATACCCGCTTATTTTGTAGTTGGTATATTTAATAAAAAATCTGCTGCTTGTTATTTTTTTTGTTATAGCATTTTATAAATGATAATATTGGTGTTAATGTTCACTTTTTTATTTATTTAAGAGGTCATGTATATTTAAGTTATATTTATTTAGATTCATGAATGTTCCATTCAAAATTGTTATTAAAAAGGCATGTACACCATAAAAGATGACTATTGAGGTCTATTGTAGGGAATGTTAGTGTTATATCAAATAGTGAATTATAAAACGGACAAGTCAAATCAAGCAATCTGATTGGTTCTTAGCCGTGATATACTGAGCGTATACCACGGGTAGAATTGTAAGTTACTTTTCACAACAAGTCAGTATCCCTCCGCGTCTGAGAAAAACAGTATACCGTTGGGCTGAAAAGCAAAACTGCCTGCAGTTTGCTTTTCAAACTGGAACAAGAAAGCAGCGGAGAAGTAACGGGGCAGAAACCCTCCTTTTTACGCAGCGGTCCAGACGTAGACATCAAACGGCAAAACATAGGCCTATTCAGTGTGCAGTTCTTTTGGTATTATGGCAGGGATATCTAGATACTTTCCAAGGTTTGACATAATGAATTGAGCTACTTTTAAAGCAAGCAACAATTTTTTCAAATATGTAATCAAAGAGGTCCGCAAAAACACTATCGACCAATCAGATTGCTTGATTTGACTTGTCAGTTTTATATATTTCCATTTCTTCCGTTACGAAACAAACTTACAAAGCATAAGATGGAAACATTTAAGATTAACTTCGACCTCCGGGGGGGGTCTTCTTACTATGGAGGAGTGGATTGAGCAGTGCCTATCTCCAGAAAAAAAAAAGCACATAAACGACGACATGCAGAGCTACGTGAAGAGCAGGTAGACCAACTGGAAAAGTAGCACCATTCAAAAGCTTTCTGATGCGGGTCTTGAAACAAAGCAGAGAAATTATGACCGTTAGTGGCCACAGGTGCGAAAGCTCTCTCCAGAGCTGCTGGAAGCCAAATCTCAGGGACCGGAGAAAGTGGAGCAATATTCTGACCACGCCGAGCAACAGCCTAGAACAACCTCAACCTATACAAGTAACCACGTAAGCCATGCTACTGATGCTGGACAGGTTTCAGTGGCTGCACAATAAACGGCAACATACAAATGAATGTAAATAAATAGCCAAATAATGGATCAACGCTCTCTGTCTAATATGTTCGCTAGCTGTTAGTGTTGTTGCATAGGGTTGTCGAACCACGCCCCTTAGCTGTGATATAATGAGCATATACCACGGCCTGTCGTGAGCTATTGCTTAATTATATACTGCAGCAGAATGTTGCAGCAGAATGTAGAATTTGCAGTCAGCACAGTGTTATATTTTCACCGCTCAGTGTCAGTAAATATTGTGCAAGATGCAAGCCTGTACAGGTAGTTATTTAAAGAATAAATGAGTGGGTTGGGTTCTGGAGGTGTGCTTACAGCATTGTGCTTGGTTGACATGGCCTGTGCCTGGTGGTGGGGCCCAATGTGATATCTTTTCATGGGGCCCAAAATCCCTGGCGGCACCTCTGCTGCCAAGTTCAATAACAAACTCCTGTGGGTAGACCTCTCCTCTATGTTATTAGCACAAGCTGCTAGTCTGAACACACTTAAGGATAATCCCCTTACTTCCCGCACCTCACCTAGTCAGGATCTTAGACAGTATCTCCTCGCTGTAGATAGACTTTAGAGGGATGTATATGCAGAACACGGCTTGCTGTTTTCAACATCTGTGAGTGAGGGTTTTAGTGAGAGACAAAGTGAATAAATAAAGGTGAAGCCTACTTTTCCAGGTGTACTCTGTGATTAATGGGCCCAATGTGTTTTATAGCTGCCCAAAAAAAAGTAATCTGTCAAATGTAACTAGAGTGAGTCAGACCAACAACAATGTCCACATACTGCATATTTGTAACATGGTGATAGTTATCAAAACAATAACCTACAAAGTATTATTGACCCACCTTTTTGTCAATACTGTAAGTGAAAGCAGTTGTTATTAGACTGATCCTCTTGGCTCAGTTAAAGTATTTTTATCATATTTAGCAGGTGCTCTTTTGACAGTATGTCTCTGTGGTTGTCCTGAAACCAATAAGTTAACTATTACGGTCTGCTGGGTGTTTATATTTTTTTTTTATTGACAATTAAACTAAACTGCTGCAAAATGAATTGCCTAAACACAAGCCCTTTGAATCCCCCAGGAAGAGGGAACCCCTATCTACCACAACATGGCCCTTTTGCGTCACACTGAACAACATGTTCACTATGCTAGTTATTTATAACCTCCACATGAGATAGGCCGTGTTATAGGCCACTTCTATGAGCAGGGAGTGAGTCCAGGAGAGGATTTATGTGTTGCGCATTTGGATTCCGTTGTCTCCTTGGCTGCAGTTTCATCACGTGAGGATCATGGTTGGTGAGCGAGAGTTTAAAATAACAATACATCATTTACTCACTGCAGGGCTTTAAGGTCCACAAGTCTATTACACCTATATTAAACTATAACAGCTAGGTGTATTCATAAGTGGACTCCTGCACTATGTTCCTTTCATGGTCTGTTTAATTTAGGTGCAGAAGCTCTCCTCTTTATTTTAGAAGTGCGTGCACACTCCTGACTTAAGCAATGACAATAACCAGATATTGATGTCCGACTCATTATTTGAGTGTCACAACCAACCTACTCACGGAAGACAACATAAATACCCTTGAGTCATCTCCATTCTGGACCTATTTTTAGGTTATTACCTTTACACAGTCTATGGTTATTACCCAGTCCCAGCATCAAAAGGCATCAAACATTCATCCCTGCCAAGACTCTTTTTTAGGCAACCTTGGATGTGTAAACAGCAGGATTTCATGCAGAATATGAGACGAGAGGGTATGACTGCTTTATACATTTTTCTATGGGTCAGCAGCAAGTCATTGTGGTGGGTTTAAGACTAGTATGCAACATAACACGCCATAGGTTTTTAACTTTAGGTCATTTCTAACCTTTAAATAACCTTTAGTGTCCATTTTGTCTGGATTTAGTTTCACACATTTCAGAATGTGTTTATAACCTTAGCCTTACTATGAGGCAGTGGACTGAGAGGACCTCGCCCATAACGGTGCCATAGGAACTGCTAACAGATGCTAACAGCTGGTGTATTAACATGTAGCAAAACATGTGATGCCTGATGTATTAGTTTAGGTTGTGCTGCTATTAAAGATACAACATATAAGTTTGAATGAAAAAATACAATTGTAAGATAAAGTAACATTTGCTATGATTAGTTAGATATGTATGAATGATGAACTAGGTAAACTTCCTGTTGCTACGTAAGGATCTGCTAATGTATGTATCGTTAGCTAGCTAGCATTAGCCTGCCAAACCACTACTGTGTTGCAAAATAACTGCGTATAGGACTACAAACTGCGGGACAGGGTTAAATAAAGCAGCACCGAAAGGATGTCAGCGGCGGGCACCGGGACTCACCAGCCGTCACACCATAACCGGACGACGCGCTTCCTTTTCTCCGGGCTGCAAGCAGAGCCACCCGGTGTACCGCAAACTGAGTCCTCCTCCCGCTGCTCCTCCGCGGCGTGGTGCCCGTTCTTTATCATTTTGATAACTTCAAATAACGTAGTGGTAGTACGAATACAAACAAAAGATAGGTTAAGTTTCAAAGTAGTTCACTCCGATTACTCTGAAGGATTCTTTCAGAGGACGGTGTTCTTCTTCTGCGGAGCACACATTGACACCGGCCAACGCCTCCAACACGACATCATCGGTACGTCACGTCGGACGGAGCCACTCGCGCTGAGGTGCTGATTGCATAATCCCTCCTATCACGTGATCAGCTACAACCTATAAACAAAGTGCTACCAGCAGAGGAATGTGACTAAGTACTCAGCCACTGTACTTTTCCACAAGTGTTGCTTTCATTTGCTCCGAAAGGAAAACGAGTTATGGTTATCTTTTCAAATCCACAACCTACAAACAAAACACACAATTGTTTTAAGACATGTTGACCTGTTAATAATAATAAAAAAGGACTCAAGTCAATTGCTCTGCAAGAGGACTTTCCAGTGCATTTAGCTGATAATACTCAAAAAAGTGTTGGTTAAATCATTTATGTTGCGTGCTGGGGAATCTTGAACACATAAATTCATTGGTGATAGAGTATTATAAAGAGAGGGGGTCCTGCTTCTTCAACTGTTTCATACTTCTTCCACCACTTACTCATTACAGTCAGTCATCCTTAACACAAAGGCATAATATTTTCATTTGACAGTGTATTATGCTGAATAGATTTAGATAAGAGTTAGGTTTTCCATTTAAGGGATAAACAGAAAATGTTTTATTAAATAAGTTAATACAAAAAACAAACAGGCAAAATCATCAACTTGCACAAATAAGATAATAAAGGTCAAGGATAAGCTACAGTACTGCCAAGTCAGATCTAAAGACCAAGTGTAGATATTAATTAATCAATCATTATCAATTGTGTTAAGGCCAGTCTTTAATAATCTCTGACACTAAACTGTACAGGATGACATAATTACTACTGGATCTCCCTGAGACAAATTAATAGAGATACATATTTGGATGTTTACAATGACTCAAGTAAACAAAAACTTGACATGATACAAACTAACAGGTAATCAAAGGTATACATTTAACAAAAATCTAACATTTTGTCTGCATAAAAATGTAAACATAGGCAATTTCTACATCTTCAACCGGGTGCAGTAGTAGCTGCAAACCTGAGGATGAATGACAGCAGAATGAGAGGTGACTGTTAGAACAGGAAATAGTTTAAGTTAACAAAAATACCGTTAAAACAAACTCATTACAAAAAATAAATTCAACAATGCACTTTAAACATCTGAAAAATACTAGAAAAAAATATATTTTACTCAAGTGATACATGTAGAAAACCTTATAAATCTCTTCTCAGTAAAAGCTGTTGCAGCACCGCAATCAATAATTGGCCATTTGAACGCTACTGATGTTGTATTGGAATTTTCCACTTATAAACACTGAAAGGTACCTTTACTCATGATTTACGTCTAGCTTGTGCTCAAACCAAACAACTTGGTAAACACATATTACAGTAAGGTTGATGAATGATACTGCACAAAAAACAGGATAATTCACCACCAGTTTAGGGAAGTAATCGAATTGCGACAGATATTGCGATTTGCGATATTTGTTTTTAAGCGACCCAACGGAAGTTTATTGTAAAATGCGGCCATATCTCCGGCTAGGAACGTCGTATCAACGTGCTCTCGTCTCTAGCACCCCGAGCTACGAGTGAAAGAACTAAACTTCCGTTGGGTTGCTTTAAAGTCAAGCTTCAGTTTAAGATTCACCCTGTAATAGATGTAAAACATGTGATGGAGCATTACTAACCTGACTCAGATGGTTTGTTTCACCAAACCATCTAAAGCTCCATTGGAAGCCATTTGGAAAAGTATTTCAAAAATACTTGGCCTACTATCATGGGCCACTTCTGATTGGTTAACAATGACTGGTAAACAACTTTCTTTTTTTTTAAATAAAAAAAATCACAGGCTTTGCAATTTGATAATTGCATAATTTAAAATCGCAATTTTGATTTAAAATCAATTAATCGTTCAGCCCTACAGCAGTTGGCTTCAAAGGATGTGAAAACATTGTCATTAAAGTGTTTGACATACTCGTACACATAATTCCTAATGCTGCAGTAGTGGTTTCAAAACTCTCTTTGGACCTTTTTTATATTTTCATTAAAATCTCACAACTGTCACACTTGTTGCATTGCACTCCAAATGGCCAAAATACCAAATCTACATTATGTTGCATAAACTCAAGCTACTTTTACTCTGTATTTGGTATAAAATAATAAATGTATGGTGCAAAGTGCCATTTTCGAATGGCAAATACTCAATCTTAAGTTTCCCTTGACGCACACACACACATCGCCTGTGGCTAGAAACCAACTCAGCAAAAAGGACTGAACTAGACCAACTTCTCCTCAGTATGGGTATGAAACGTAATCCCTCTTTGGGATTGATCACTTGGCATACTTCACTACATCGTATGCTTCTTTAAAAGACTGCTTGATCATCCATCTTTTTTCTTCTTCTTCTTCCTCCTTCCCTTGCCATAGCCTCGACCGAACCAGCCGCCCTGAACAGCTGTGGCTTCTTCTGCCTGTTCTCCAGAGTCAGGTACGCAGTCCTCCTGCACATCAAGACGAGCGATGACCTCACGAGTATGGCTGTCCACCTCTTCCTGCCGCAGAGGTACAGCTAGACTGAAGACGGGGTCCTTCGCCCTGATGAGACAACATGAGAAAAACCAAGTTTGGGTTAAAAAGTTGGACTTATCTTTCTATTTCTGTGTATATAGTGGAAATATTCAAAAATGTAAGTATGGTAAAGCCGGAATAATGCATTTAAAATTAGTCAAACCCTTTGAAGATCCTTACCTGTCGTACCCTGGCACCTGGATGTTCAGTTCATCCATCAGGAGCCTCATGACATCATCACACTTGCCATTAATTTTCAGTGCAGCAAGATCATCTTTTGGTGTCCACTGGGTCAAAAAGCAGAGCCACATAATCAGTATCAGAGAAGCCAAACGTTAATTTACATCCTTATGACCTGAAATGTAAAAACTAAATTGTACCTGGAGGTTGACAATGTATAGTTTTGGCCTTTTGCTTGCTGGTTTGTTCATGCACCACAGACAAGCGTATTTCTTCAGCACCTTGAAGAGCAAGAAACAGGGTGCCACAGAATGAAGGATGCTACAAGTGAATGCACTTCCATGATGTTAATAATAACCGGATTAAAACAAGACTAAGAAATAGCAACGAAACAACCTTTTCAGATCACCAAATGCAAACTTCTTTATTGAACCTTACCTTCAGACTGGTGCCTAAGCAGAGGATAACATCGGCCGTCTCTGCAGCCTCTGCTGCTCCCTTCCAGTTGAGAGGCTGCTCCAGGGTTCCTCGCTCCCCAAAATGCACTATGGTGTCCCTGAGTTCACTTCCACAGTGGCTGCACCTGCGGCCTGTCATGTGGCGGTGCAGCGATGTTCGCTCCGTCACGTCAAATAAACGCACATACTCCTTGACTGGGCTACAGGATGTACACACCTAGGTCCAACAGAGGATCAGAAATAGATTCATAATGATAATAAATTACATTTTTATTAAAGAGCTTTTCAAGACACACAAAGCACTTTACAATTACACATTTTAGACATGAAACAGTTATTACTGTGGACAATACCCACAGGAGAAAATTAGGACACAACGGCAGGTTTCAAACTGGTTTTCCTCAACGCCCCTTGATCTGATGATCAACACTCTAGCCCACTGTGCCAAACCGCCCCATTAGACTTTATAAGGCTTGGTCTTTTCAAGTTTTGTTAGCTTTTGGAGGCAGCGCTGCAAATTCTGTTCAAAAATATCTGGACCATATCTTTTCAGGTGGTGTGAATGTTGCATTTAGAACTGATTAGAAAGAATAATAAGAGGCTGTGTGTGTGAGTAAGAGACTAAAAAAAGGAATACTCACAATGAGTGGGTCTCACCTCAATAAACATGTTTCCATGAAGCTCAGACAGGGCATGTCTGGGTAGCCCGCTACGCAAATGAAGCCCGTCACAGTTTTGAGAAACAACATGCTGTAACTAAAGAAAACAGTGTAAATACCAAGCATGCATAACAAAATGATTTGTGAAATAAGTTGTTTATCTGAGTCTAACATACCAGCTTTTCCTTATGTAGCATCCTAACGCACATGTGTGTGAGGGTCGGCTCAGCTTTACTCAGGTCAGACGAACTGTAAGAGAATCAAAAAACAATCAAATCAGTCCAATTCACCTCAAAAGAAAAAACAGCATATCAGTGTACACTGATATGCTACATACAGTGGGGCAAAAAAGTATTTAGTCAGCCACCAATTGTGCAAGTTCTCCCACTTAAAAAGATGACAGGCCTGTAATTTTCATCCTAGGTACACTTCAACTATGAGAGACAGAATGGGGGGAAAGAATCCAGGAAATCACATTGTAGGATTTTTAATGAATTCATTGGTAAATTCCTCGGTAAAATAAGTATTTGGTCACCTACAAACAAACAAGATTTCTGGCTCTCACAGACCTGTAACTTCTTCTTTAAGAGCCTCCTCTGTCCTCCACTCGTTAACTGTATTAATGGCACCTGTTTGAACTCGTTATCAGTATAAAAGACACCTGTCCACAACCTCAAACAGTCACACTCCAAACTCCACTATGGCCAAGACCAAAGAGCTGTCAAAGGACACCAGAAACAAAATTGTAGACCTGCACCAGGCTGGGAAGACTGAATCTGCAATAGGTAAGCAGCTTGGTGTGAAGAAATCAACTGTGTGCAACTCGATTTTGACAGGAAAGCAACTGGAGACTTCTAGAATTGTGTGAGTAACATTCTGTTTTTAGACTTCTCTGTTTCAGTGTGTGTACTCTGTATCATTGCTCTGTAGTTGATCTGACAGAAATTGTGATTTTAAATCTCAAAACCGCTACAGTATCTGTCAGGCAGAAACTTGGCTGAAACCTTAAAACTGAACTTACTGACTGCTAGGGTTAACTTTGATTTAAACATTTGTAGAATAAGAGCTTTATTGAGTAGGTGTAACTGTATTAAGGGTTAAACTCATAACTTTATAACTTAGGGTTTAATGTAATTGTAAAACCATTGGGCCACTTAAAATACAATAACAAGTCAGGAGGGAGCCAGTCTAGATTTCCTTTTGAGGGCCACCAGCTGCAGAGAGTTAACTAATTAAAGAGACGTGGCCCCACAGCTGTGAGAACTCAGCAATCAGGTGTCCATTTTAGGTAGCACTTTCCTGGAGCGTCAGACAGGCTAAGACTGACAAAGACATTGGAGTCACGAGAGAGGCAAATCCTACTTTGATTGAGCTAAAGTATCGCTGGTGTTATTTTATTTGGTTGTTTAGCCCCTCATGCTATAATCATGTGTATTTTCTCCATTCCTGTTCATGTGTCTTCTCGCAATTATCACTGGCCCCGTGTATCTCGTAATCGATATAACCGGCCTGCTCTCGTCTATCCCACATGCTCCACTGAGATCCAACATCTAGTTTCAGGCGGCCTGTGGAACTGCCAGTCAGCTGTTCCTAAGGCTGACTTCATCTCTGGTTACGCTTCCCTGCAGTCTCTGGATTTCCTTGCTCTCACTGAGATGTGGATTACTCCATCCAACACATCCACCCCAGCAGCTCTCTCCACAGCATATTCCTTCTCCCATACACCCAGACCCACTGGCAGAGGAGGTGGCACTGGTCTCCTGCTCTCTCCCAAATTGAGCTTTTCCCTCTTCAAGCTACCTAACTTCACTCCTTCCACCTTTGAATTCCATGCCGTCACAGTAACCCATCCTATACAATTAACCATTGTTGTTCTCTACCGTCCACCAGGCGCCTTGGGGGACTTCTTGGAGGAATTAGATCATCTCCTCTCACACATCCCTGAAACTGGTCCTTCCGCTGTACTTCTCGGAGACTTCAACCTCCAGACAGGGAAGATAGACGAACTAACATCTCTGTTAACCGCCTTTGCTTTCTCACTGTCTCCGTCCCCACCAACTCATAAAGCTGGCAATGTCCTTGATCTCATATTCTCAAGGAACTGCACTACTTCTAACCTCTCTGTAAACCCGCTCCACACATCCGATCACTTCTTCATTTCATTCTCTCTACCCCTTTCCAAACATAACAAACTAATCTCTTCTCATCCTGCACCTGTCCGCCGTAACCTTCGTTCCCTCTCCCCCTCTACCTTTGCCTCATCGGTACTCTCAGCCCTCCCTTCCTCGGACTCGTTCCAACTACTACCTCCAAACTCTGCTGCAGAAACTCTCCTCTCTACTCTCTCATCCACTCTGGACTCTCTCTGTCCTCTCACATCTCGGCAGGCTCGTCAGTCCCCTCCTGCTCCCTGGCTAAATGATGCACTGCGTGCTAACAGCAGCTTCACACAGCAGCTTTTGGCGATTTGTCCACCGCTTCCAGCGCGTCTCCGCCCATTGACTTTGAATGGGGATGACGTCACTTTCCCTCGCTTGTCGACGAACTGCATTGTGGGGGGGCGAGGCGAAGATTTCCAGGATTTTCAGGATGTTCAGGATTCCAAAGTTGAACAATGTTCAACTTTTGAGGCTGAGCTGGAAGCGACAGCCAATCAGATCCGTTTATGCAAATCTGACAGTTCAAGCGCTAGCCAATCAAACCGCGTGCAAGCTGGGAGAGCCAGACCGCAGTTCATTCTATATTCCACAAAAATGGAGGAGAACTTAGTTATTGCGGTAGCAAATCACCCGGTTCTTTATGACCAGTCCCTATTTACTTACCGGGATACAAACCGGAGGAACCAGGCATGGAGGGAGGTGGCAGAGGCAGTGGGTGAAACTGGTAGGTTTTCGCTTGTTTGGGGATTTTATATCCAGTTTACTTCGTTGCTAGTGTACTTCGTTGCTAGCAAGCATAGACAGTATAATTAGACAGCATGGAATGTAGCATAAAATAGCACCATAGACCTTAATCTCATAAATGTTCAAAATGTTAAAAAAATAAATGTTCATCATAGCCCTTCCTATTTGACAATAGTGTAGAAGAACCGGGTATTTTTGCTTTGTATGTCGGGGGCGGGATATTCATGTGATATTCATGTGATTGGTTGTTGGTCGCGAAATCCCCAAGCTGTCAGACACGCCCAGCTCCAGGATTTTCAAGATTTGGTCAAAGCTGCTGTGTGGACACACCGTAATAGAACCGTCCTTCGGGCAGCAGAGCGGAAATGGTGGAAATCCAAACACTGTGACGACCTCCTAACCTATCAGGCTCTCCTCTCCTCTTTCTCTGCTTCGATCTCTCAGGCAAAAAGCACTTTCTTTCAAGATAAGATCCAATCTTCCTATTCCAATCCCAAAAAACTATTTTCCATCTTCTCCTCCCTCCTGGACCCCCCCAAAGCCCCTTCCCCCTCCTCACTTCTGTCAAGCGACTTTGTTACCCACTTTGAAAAAAAGGTTGATATTCGCTCTTCTTTTTCTGACTCACCTCTACTCACCGCTGGGTCACCAGACCCTCCTTTCACCCACACACTGACCTCCTTTTCCCCTCTCTCTCCAAGTGAGGTTCTTACTCTCATTACCTCTGCCCGCCCTACCACCTGTCCTCTGGACCCTATCTCTTCAAACCTCCTTCAGACTATCGCTCCTGATATTCTACCGTTTCTCACCCATTTCATCAACACTTCTCTAACTTCTGGTCACTTTCCAAACAGTCTCAAGGAGGCAAGAGTAAACCCTCTCCTAAAGAAACCCACTCTCAACCCGTCTGATGTTATAAACTACAGGCCTGTCTCTCTCTCCTCCCGTTCCTGTCTAAAACACTTGAACGCGCTGTCTTTAAACAACTCTCCTGTTATCTCCATCAGAACAACCTTCTGGATCCGCACCAGTCTGGTTTCAAGGCAGGTCACTCCACAGAAACTGCCCTCCTTGCTGTCACTGAGGAACTGCACACTGCTAAAGCAGCCTCCCTCTCCTCTGTCATCATCCTTTTGGACCTGTCTGCTGCATTCGACACGGTGAATCATCAGATCCTCCTTCGCACTCTCCAAGAACTTGGAGTTTCAGGCTCTGCACTTTCCCTCCTCACCTCATACCTCAAAGACCGCACCTACAGGGTTACTTGGAGAGGGTCCGAGTCCGACCCTTGTCAATTAACTACAGGGGTCCCTCAGGGCTCTGTTCTTGGTCCCCTCCTCTTCTCCTTGTACACAAACTCGCTCGGATCAGTCATTAGCCCGCATGGTTTTTCATACCATTGCTACGCTGACGACACCCAATTAATTCTGTCCTTTCCCCGCTCAGAGACCCAGGTCGTCGCACGCATCTCTGCTTGTCTAGCTGACATCTCTCAGTGGATGTCTGATCATCACCTCAAGCTCAACCTTGACAAGACTGAACTGCTTTTCCTTCCGGGAAAAGATTGTCCCACTCTTGACCTGACAATCAACATTGGCACCTCTGTTGTTTCCCCGACTCAGACTGCAAGGAATCTGGGTGTGACCCTAGATAACAACCTGTCCTTCACTACAAACATCGCTGCTGCAGATACACGCTTTACAACATCAGGAGGATGCGTCCCCAGCTGACCCAGAAAGCGACGCAGGTTCTGGTCCAGGCTCTCGTCATCTCACGCCTAGACTACTGCAACTCCCTCCTGGCTTGTCTACCTGCATGTGCCATCCGACCTCTGCAGCTCATCCAGAATGCAGCTCCTCGCCTGGTCTTCAACCTTCCTAAATTCTCCCACACCGCTCCTCCGCTCCCTTCACTGGCTTCCGATAACTGCTAGAATCCACTTCAAGACAATGGTACTTGCGTACCATGCTGCGAATGGATCTGGCCCTTCCTACATCCAGGACATGGTTAAACCGTACACCCCAGCACGTGCACTCCGCTCTGCATCAACCAAACGGCTCGCTGCACCCTCGCTGCGAAGGGGACCCAAGTTCCCATCAGCAAAAACACGTGGGTTTTCTATCCTGGCTCCAAAATGGTGGAATGAGCTCCCCATTGACATCAGGACAGCAGATAGCTTACACACCTTCCGGCGCAGACTGAAAACTCATCTCTTTCGACTCCACTTCGAGCGATAGAACTATTAACAAAGCACTTATATACTAATAAAGGGCTGGCTTATCTAAAGCCAGTTGAGTAGCACTTGAAATGTTTTTGCTCTATGAAGCCTGATGTACTTATATGATTCTGTTTTCCTCAAGTTTGTATTTTGTTGGTCGAACGCACTTATTGTAAGTCGCTTTGGATAAAAGCGTCAGCTAAATGTAATGTGGGAGCAATTATTAGAAAATGGAAGACATACAAGACCACTGATAATCTCCCTCGATCTGGGGCTCCACGCAAGATCTCACCCCGTGGGGTCAAAATGATCACAAGAACGGTGAGCAAAAATCCCAGAACCACACGGGGGGGACCTAGTCAATGACCTGCAGAGAGCTGGGACCAAAGTATCAAAGGCTACCATCAGTAACACACTACGCTGCCAGGGACTCAAATCCTGCAGTGCCAGACGTGTCCCCCTGCTTAAGCCAGTACATGTCCAGGCCCGTCTGAAGTTTGCTAGAGAGCATTTAGATGATCCAGAAGAGGATTGGGAGAATGGCATATGGTCAGATGAAACCAAAATAGAACTTTTTGGTAAAAACTCAACTAGACGTGTTTGGAGGAGAAAGAATGCTGAGTTGCATCTAAAGAACACCATACCTACTGTGAAACATGGGGGTGGAAACATCATGCTTTGGGGCTGTTTTTTCTGCAAAGGGACCAGGACGACTGATCCGTGTAAAGGAAAGAATGAATGGGGCCATGTATCGTGATATTTTGAGTGACAACCTCCTTCCATCAGCAAGGGCATTGAAGATGAAACGTGGCTGGGTCTTTCAGCATGACAATGATCCCAAACACACCGCCCGGGCAACGAAGGAGTGGCTTCGTAAGAAGCATTTCAAGGTCCTGGAGTGGCCTAGCCAGTCTCAACCCCATAGAAAATCTTTGGAGGGAGTTGAAAGTCCGTGTTGCCCAGCGACAGCCCCAAAACATCACTGCTCTAGAGGAGATCTGCATGGAGGAATGGGCCAAAATACCAGCAACAGTGTGAAGACTTACAGAAAACGTTTGACCTCTGTCATTGCCAACAAAGGGTATATAACAAAGTATTGAGATTAACTTTTGTTATTGACCAAATACTTATTTTCCACCATAATTTGCAAAGAAATTCTTTAAAAATCAGACTGTGATTTTCTGGATTTTTATTTTTAATTTTTATTTTGTCTCTCATAGTTGAGATATACCTAGGATGAAAATTACAGGCCTCATCTTTTTAAGTGGGAGAACTTGCACAATTGGTGGCTGACTAAATACTTTTTTGCCCCACTGTATCTCACCTGATTGACCGTCCTTTCTGCAGCAGTGTCCACACTCCATTAGGCCCCCTGTAGTCTGGGATCGAAGCGGCCTGAAATAAAATACATTGTCAGTGCCGGATAAGTTTCAAAAGGGTAAAGTCAAATAAAAGACGCTGAGATTAGCATACCGTACTGATGCCGGCTCCAGTGTATACCACCAGGTGCTTTGCTTGCTTCACTGCCACAGCGAGCCGTCTCACTTTACTCCTCAGCTCATCAGCCTCATCAAACACCTGCACGTAGTACAGTAAAACAAGATCTTTTAGGATAACAAACACAAACATCTGTTAAATCAAGCATTCTTTCGTGCAAACTCGCTCAGATATTTTGATAAAGACATGTGCCCTTTACTGTCTTTGCTCATACCAAACCCAAACACATATGGAATCAAAAATGACTTTATTTGCAAGATGCAACTTCCCAAGACTCTTAGTCCTAAAACAGGATTGATATGCATTGAAAAGGTGGGCCCTGTATATAATTTGCATTCGAGGGAACCCTTTGTTATCCTTTATCATTGTATAAATAAATGGGTTCGTTAATCATTTTCGTTTTGTGGGGAAAACCTGGGGACCCACAGTTTTCTTTTTTTATGAACTAGACCTGGGAAAGTTACCATTTTGTCAAGGTAAACCAGTCTTGGTTCCTTCACTGATTATAACCCATTAGCTACAGGTAACATATCACCTAGCCAGTTAGCTTGAAAGCTAACACTTGCTGGGCCTGACAGTCTCACCTCCTCCTGTTTCCTCTTCAGCACATTTCTGCGGACTTGTCTCTTGCAGAGCTCCTCTACAGTTCCTCTGTGTAGCAGTAACACAGCAGCCTCTTCCTCGGACCGCCCACTCTCAGGTTTCTTCAGGACTTTTCCCACCTTCAGGCCACAGAAAGACAGAGAAACCTGGTCAGACTCACACCAACTGCATGCACAGAGATAATAAACGCTGCTTTAGCCATCTAGTTCGGTACAGCCGCTGCAGGAAAAGGCTCTAAATGTTTCTTACCAGTCTGAAAATCTTCCTTTCAGTTTCTCTTTGAAGTATTTTTGCCTTTTGCAAAGCCTTCCTCTCGACCCGCGAGGGAACACCGGTGTCTGCCTCCTCTTCCATCCCGTTTTAAATCAGCTGAGCTGTCTATTCAAAAACACAGCGCACAGCGACCACATACCAGCTGGCCGGATGTTATCCGTTTAGAGGGGGCAAACTGCCAGCAGCGCCCTCTGCTGCCCGGGGGCTGTGTTGGGGGGTAAACCCAAGCCTTTACAGTCTATGGCCCAAGCACTATTTTTTGAAAAGCAAAAATTCCACATTTGTTCTAAGTGTTTTTAAGTCTTAAAATATGGTACAGGGTATTATTTGGCCAGTAATCTTACAGAATACATAACATTTTGTAAATCAAATTACACCCCATTTAGTCCACAATCAGGATTGATGTTGTTGGGGGCGGGGTGAGTCTTTCTTACACTACATAAAGTACGTGTGCATCATTTTGATATTTAATTTGTGTTGAGTTCGTAGATACTAAGTGCTTGATTGTGCTACATTTCTGTGATATAGCAAGCAATGTTCTTATTTTATTTCATTTAATCGTTTATTTGAACCGGGACAGAACACTTTAAACAAAATAATGCTTTCAAATATAAATGAGCCGGATTTTAGCTTTGAGCTAATTTCCATCCGTAGTCCCGTCACATACATTTATGATCATGACATTTATATACATGGCAAAAATAAATACATGATATGCAGAAAGAGTATGAGCAGCATACAAGCATTTACCACATGGCAACAATGTAGCAGGCAGCTATGATATATAAAGTGCAAGATAAAATAAAAGAGCTACATAAAGTGCAAGACGAGATACCCCTTCGTTAAAGACGACGCTGAAGTTGGCTTCCGATTCAGAGCATCCGATTCGGCAGTTAAGGCGAAAGTTAAGGGACATTTAATTTACAGCGCTGAGCGAACAATCCTCCGTGTTTGAACCTCTTAAATCGCTGCATAGCCGATTTATTTGGACTGGATTATCCCAGAGAGTCTAAATAACCCAGTTTGAGATTTGTGAAACCTTTATTCTATTTGTGAAAATACAAAAAGTGAGATTTCAGTGCTTTTTCACATGTAGACCACATTAGACCAGGTCCTGATCTGAAACCACTAGACCTACACTCATCAAATCTGGACTGGATTATCCCAGAGGGCCTAAAGATTCTTTATAACACAGTTTGAGATTTGTGAAACCTTTATTCTATTTGTGGAAAATACAAAAAGGGAGATTTCAGTGCTTTTTTTTACATGTAGACCACATTAGACCAGGTCCTGATCTAAAACCATTTTTCCTAGACTCGTCAAATCTGGACTGGATTATCCCAGAGGGTCTAAAAATTCTTTATAACACAGTTTGAGATTTGTGAAACCTTTATTCTATTTGTGAAAATACAAACAAGGGAGATTTCAGTGCTTTTTTTTTTTTACATGTAGACCACATTAGACCAGGTCCTGATCTGAAGCCACTAGACCTAGACTCATCAAATCGGGTAAGTATGGACAGCTAATTAAGGAAGAATAAAGTCTTTACTTCTCAAATGTATTATAATTTTGTGTTGCAAATAAAAATTCAACAGATAAGTAGGTATACTTATATAAACTTAATTTATTTACAGTTGCAGGCAAAATATGTCAACAGGAAATTAAATATAGTCTATAACTAGCATTGTTCAAGTTTACTTTAAGCAACAAGCTTTGCCTAATTACAGTATGTCATCTTGAGTACTAGGATTGCTTGGAATGTGAAAAACATTACAAGATTAGAAAATAACACTTTGGTAAAAATAATTGCTATTCATATTTTGCTTTAGGACAAAGCAGCAGAAGCTGTTCAAAGTGGATGAAAGACTGAAAGTTAGCCTTTTTCTTTATCTCATGAACCTGAATTCCTTTAACATCTCTTTCATTGTTTTGTTTGCTATGAAACAGTATTTAAGATACCAAAACTTTGTAGATAAAGAATTATCACCTAAATGAGGAGCATACACTTATTTTTATTTATTTATTCATTTGTTTAACAGGGACAGTGCACATTAATTAACATTCCTGTAAATGTGCCAGAGTTAACCAAGAGGCTATTTTTCATCTGTTGTCCCTGGACAGATTTTTACAAGTGAACCTAAAACAAATTTCATTTAAACAAGTACATACAATCAAATTAAAACATGCAACATACATTACTGGAATACTTAAATAAATAAAAAGACAGAACAATAAAACAAAACAAAAGAACATGTTGTGACGACCCCTTCCCCCTTCTTCCTGTCTGTGCTCCCTGCCTTGCTGTCCTCTGGCAGGTACTGGGAGTGTCGTCCTGTCTGTGCCCGCCCATCTAGCGGCGGAGCCTCAAGAAGGCATAAAGGCTTGCCCAGCTGGGAGGTTCACTTTCTGATCCTGATCCTGGCCTGCTGCAGCAACCTCAGCCTTCCACCTGTGTTTGTATTTTCACAAATAGAATAAAGATTTCACAAATCTGAAACTGTGTTATAAAGAATCTTTAGCCTCTCTGGGATAATCCAGTCCAGATTTGATGAGTGTAGGTCTAGTGGTTTTAGATCAGGACCTGGTCTAATGTGGTCTACATGTAAAAAAAAAAGCAGCAAAATCTCCCTTTTTGTATTTTCACAAATAGAATAAAGGTTTCACAAATCTAAAACTGTGTTATAAAGAATCTTTAGAGTCTCTGGGATAATCCAGTCCAAATAAATCGGCTATGCAGCGATTTAAGAGGTTCAAACAAGGAGGATTGTTCGCTCAGCGGTGTAAATTAAATGTCCCTTAACTTTCCCCTTAACTGCCGAATCGGATGCTCTGAATCGGAAGCCAACTTCAGCATCGTGTGTTAAAGTGCATTTAGCGGTCTGTTTGTGTCTCAACCATTCTTTGAGGTTGACCTTTAAAACTATTGAGAGTGGGACAATCCCGTATCTCAGTTGGGAGGCTATTCCAGAAAGAGCTGCCTTTAATGAAAAGTACATTTTGTCCAAAAGTGGTCCGTCTACGGTGGACCTCACAGTCTCCTCTGGTTTCTGACCTATGCAGCGTCCAGTGTGTTTTCTGTGGATGAATTCCCCAGTCCATGTAAACATTTATAAATAAAACACATACTTCTAAAAGACTTCAAATTGTCAAAACTTAAGAAATTGTGTCAAGGATGGTACAGTGGTGGTATGACTAAGGCTTTCTGTCAAACCCCTTGATAGCTCTCTTGTACAGCTGTTCTATGGGTTTCAGGTTTGTGGCACAAGCAAACGACCAGTTTGTAAAACAGTATTCAATGTGGGATAGAATCATACAGTGTATGACTTTGCAGCATTGACAGTTTATACTACAGTATATTTGGTATTTGGGGACATGTTATATATAAAAAACATTAGTACCATGTTACCAAAGAAGTAGTAAGAGGAGAAAAACTCACTGAACATTTATTTAGATTGGTGCTTATGCAAGCCTTTTCAATAAACACAAACTTCAGAGCAATGTTTTAGTGGTAAGAAACATTTATTACTAAACAATTACAAATAAATAACATATAAAACAGGTCCAACAGGTCTAAGGATACAAAAGGATGATGCAAAGGTTTACAAAGGTATTTTGGCAGACGTAATCCCAATAAACTAGGGGAAATATTTAAGGCAACACATGGGAGTAACACACTATTCAAGTAGTAACAGTAGAAAGCAGTAACACCAAGCTCTGGAGCTGCATATTAGCATTGTGAACACACTGTCCTATACACAAATGTTCACATCACACAAAGAGGGTTTGATATGGGGAGATTGTCTGTTTTTGGTAAACTAGGCACACACATTAGAGAGGAATAAATAATTCAATGTTCAAAGCAGAGAACCGTTGGACAACTGGAAAAGCACTGCAAACACAGCTGAGTTAGAAGCTGATTAAAAGCTCCTTTTTCATACGAGACATTTTGATGTGTAATGAATAACTTTAGTCTTGGCTGCATTCCAGTTTTCAGCTTTAGTTCCTGAACCCTGGTGTGGGGTTTGCTCGCTCAGGGCTATTGCATTCTTCTTTTCTACTTATAGCCAATTAGTGATCCTTCCTATTTCTTTGTGTAGCTTCAGAAGCTGTAGCAGGTCCAGTAATTCACAAAGGAGTCTAAAAACAAACTGTAATTTGTGTTGCATATACTGAATATATTGTTTCTGCGGCCCCCAGGTCTGAAACCACTGGCTTACAGAAATATCTATCTGTTAACGTTATTCATTACACCTGCAATCTTCCTGCTAGATGATTACATAATGTCTGCAGCAAATTATAAACAGCATCTTTCTGGTCAGCGCTTTTCTGCTTAAGGTTGGGAAGTGTTTGTTTTTTGCCAACTCAACACTTGTCCCACTTACATGTGCAGCTTTAGTACACTTATATTGGAGAGAAGAACTGGGAGCAGACCTGATGAAGAGTTTGTGTTACTGACAGAGCAGCTGATGTTTAACCCAAACTGAAGTCAGACTATTTCGTAGTGGAAGGCTGTCAGCACTGTATTATACCCTGGTTTTGAAGTGGATGAAATGTCACATCACAGATAAGAAAAAGCAGTAATATATTCGTCAGCAAAAGGCATCGTTTGACACCTCTCAAATTGTTAGATTTACAATATTTATGTAATCGCTAGAGGCCTTATTAGGAGTCCACACTGGGGCCAATTAAGAGGTGTCACCGGGGTCTGGAGGAGCGAGTGCTCTTGGGGACCCTCTGAGGGTTGGCTCTGAACTGTCCTCGCCTGGTCTCCGGCGGCTGCTCAGCAGAGAGCCCACTACTGTGTCCACTCGTCGTCACCACTCCCTTGTGCCTTTCTGCTGCCTTTTTGTGGATCCTGCAGGAAAAAGAGATGCCTCTGCTTGTTAAAAAAAAGCCTGTAGTGCAAAAAATTCAATTAATTACAAATGTTTAAGCTGAGAAGTGCTACTTCAGCTGGCTGCAACATTACTGGGAACTTTGAAACTTGAGTGATTGCATAAACAAGTCCACTAAAGTCTAGATGTTGAATGCTTTCAGTAGGTTGACTTGTTTTAATCAGATGCAGCAACTAATGTTCAGAGTTGCCTGATGCACAAAGGTTCCTTTATCCCGTGTGACTGTATTATAAATAACTGTCTGTACATGTGTCCTTA